CCTTCACCACTCGAATTTATCATCAATAAATAATGCCTTACTGTTATATATTTACATAACTATAAATTTTGGAATTATTCAAACAACTTCATAATTTTATGGGATTTTTTAAAAATTACGGTTGAATTCTGAGAAAGGATTTAAATTGATTTGGTTACAGAAAAGACAAAAAAAAGTGATTTTGATGGTTTCCAGTTTGAGAAAATAAAATTACGATTTCGATGAGCGATTCACCATTGATTTACCCACTGGGTCTGAGAAAATATGTTCTTTTTAAAATCGGATTACTCATAAAACAGGAAAATTTATAGGGTCTTGAAAAAATTTCAATTGGCTAAAAAATGTATTTGAAAACTCCGTCAACGGCGAAAATATTTACGTGCATTTAAAAAAATGCAAAACATTGGTTCGCCTATTTCTGAGCGAGAAAAATTTAAAATTAGTCCGGTCAAACTCGGAAGTAAAGATCCAACGCCTTCTCATTGTGAGAAGAACGTACAATAATTGGGACGTATGAATAATTGATATAAAAATAATTTTGACATAAATATCTACATGTTCTTGGGAAAATTGAATTTAAATTTGAAATTAAAAATCGTGCATTAAATAAGTTGCATACTGTAATTCTTAATATTTTTTCTGGTGCCCACGTCTGAAAATATCCTAGCCCCGCCACTGGACTTTATAACTCAATAAAGTTCGAAATAAAACAAACCATAAAATAATATTTCTAATAAACGTCGGTTACGATTTGTCGTAGAAATGGTAATAATAAGTTCAGGGAAATTCAAATTTAATACATAATGGTATTCACTTCCTTAATATTTTGTAATGAATTTGAATTTCCCTGAACTTATTATTACCATTTCCACAACAAATCGTAACCGACGTAAAGACACATAGTGATTCCGCATAGTAATGATTTATTACTACCTTATTTTGAGTGTAAAAACTGCAACTATTTGCAAATTTCGTTCCCCCAATATCTAAAATCCAAGCCATTTTTCTACATAAAAAAATGTGGCACCGCGAAGGGATTTACCATCTCCATCGCGCCATTAATATGACCCACCGTAGCTCGCTAAATACTGCGTCCTGCTTCGTTTGGAACGAAAAGACGCACAGGGCGCAACCCGTCGCTCAAAATTCCAGAAATCAACGCGCATTCAAGTTTGTATTCTTTTCTTACATCTTCATACTGGAGCCGATCCTACTGATAAGATGTTACCAGATAAGCCAGTCGTCCTACACCTCCGATAAAAGACTGGTTATCCGAGCTTACTTTGCATTTCCGGTCGCCTTAATGGTCTGGATCGTTATTCCGTTCGCTTTTTGGCTGGCTTGTCCCACCGGTAAGGAAAAGTTTGTCCGGTATTATGAAGCCTTGTCAGATTTGGAAATATATTTACAGGGTGGGTACATAATTTCTATAATATTAGCTGCTCTCAAGCTACACTGTTATAAAACTGGTATAAATCATTACACTCTAAACAAAATCATTACCAAATCATTACCAAAATGCACACGTATATGACTCTGCAGAAACGGTAATAATAACCACCAGCTGGTAAAGAAATTGATTGAACCCGAAGTGGTAATAAAGAACACTTTTTGGGATAAAATTAATACCATGGTCTATGACAGATGTACTACAATATGTAGTAAAATGTCTACCGCCCGGTAATAATCCGTACCACTTTGTACACGGTGTGCTATTCATACTGGTATTAATGCTTTGTTTTAGTATACCCCATTATTACCAAATGTTGTGCAGATTTCCACCGAAAAGAATAGATTTTTTGCTTTTCTTTACAATAATCTTTCAATCAATTATATTTATTGTAAAATCATTTTGAAACATACTTACATAATTATAACAGTTGAGTATAATGCAAACTATTGAGTTACATACATGCACATGTATACATACATATTTACATGAAACTTAAATCTGCTCCGATTTCCAACTTAAATTTTTGTTTCACTGAAAAAATAAACACAAAAGATTAGTATTAGCTCTTTCCTATGTATAGTGGTGGTGCTCGAGCACCATCTTGATAAGGCGCCTGCATATGATAATTTGATACTTACCTGTTTTCACAAATTTCCAGAAGTTTTAATCAGTTTTTTCACTGATAAAAACTTCTGGACAGAATGGATTAGTTTCGCCATGTTGACTTGAGTTGAGCTGAGCGAAAACTAAAACTGACAAAAGCGCCACTGTGTAGCGTCTCCCAATGCACACCAAATGTATTAAAATTCTTACCATTATGGTAATAAACTACACCAAAATGTAGATCTCAGTAGCACCACGACCGAAAAAATTTGTACTACACTTAATTAAAATTATGGTAAAGAATGATATCTAAATTTGAAGGATATAATTACCGGCTCGTATGAATTTAGTACCAAAATTATAAAGATAACTTAAAATATTGCGGTGGAAGGCTAGTTACCCGTTTGGTATTGATACGGTAATAATCCCGTATAATTTTTGTAGGACGCGTAATTACCAAGAGCTCGGTAAAGACGCTTATTAAGAATTCTTTACCAAGTTGCTAAGAGTGTACTATTCCGAATATTTATATATGTAAATACATGACTACCGGTAAGCTACATAATAATGGGGATTATATTTACTAATTTACTGGTAATGATTGACTACCATGAATTCGGTGGGAAGTTATTACCAAATCAATACTAGCACTACTACATTTTTAACAATGTACAAAACATTGGCAACATGAATAATGTTCAAAAAATTACAAAGCAGCCTTCTTCTCCCAACCTTGAACATAAATACCGGTAAGCAAATAAAAAAGTTTTTTATTTTATCATAAGTCTTGAGATTTTTGAAATTTTGAGGCAAGTACCAACGTTGACGAGGTACACACATTGGGGAGTAGAAAAGCAGGATTGAGACAAAAAAATCAGATCGAGCTTTGATTTTTTTTATTCAGCAATACAATAATTATTATGAACAAAATCACATGCCAGTGTTGAAAAATATGCAAAATAAAGTTTTTTAGTGACGTCGTTGAGAGCACCGATTGTTCCGAATTTAAGGAAAATATGTACATAGATTACTTAACTTATATATTTTCAGACTTAATTGCACCCGTTGGACCAAACCCTGGGGGAGAACGTTACAATAAGGCCAAGTCTAAGATATCACTCTTTGTCACTCTGCTCTACAATGGATTCGACTATGCGGGACCAGCAATTATTTCAATTTTTGCATTTTCAAAGTTCTGCCCTGTCTTCGAGTTTGTACGAGATGTTCTAAATCTTCGGGAATTGTGCATCTATATCGCCACCCTTTTCCGCGTTGCGATAGGTTTTCCAACCCTGGCATTAGGACTGATAATGCTCTCGATTTTTGGAATATGCATGCTGATCACGATTTATGGTATTGTGACCCCATACTTGTGGACCTTGGTTATCACCCCGCCCGTTCGTGGTAAATGCATCCAAAACTATTCACATTTATTCATTCAATGAATAATTTAGCCATTCGTTATTCCATTAATTCAATAGCAAAGCGTAGTATTCAGGACGTAATTTTCATGTGAAGAAGTTCAGGCTAAACTTTGCTAAACTGCTTCGCAAAGACGGGAAAAAGGAACTTAAACAATAATTTGGAATTGATTTAATGAAACAATTTCATTTTGTACACTTTGTAGCGAAATTTATATAATTTCAGCGAAGGCATAATTTAATGCAAAGCGAAAAAACTGTCGTATCTCGTTTAAAATCTGTCTTGAGTACTAGGCTTAATGAGTAAGTAATTTGCTCACAAATTTTAAATGTATAAGTACTTAATCAATATTCATGAAGAATGAATGAATAATAATTTTTGAATAAATAATTTTTTTCATTTTTCACGCTATATTAATTCAAAAATCTATCTAGATAATAAGGTGAACCTGCGGTAGAAGTAAGAAACTCGAAAAATGGTTTATTTTCAAATTTTGAATAAATGAATGAACAACGAGTGAATATTTTTTTTCTATAATTTTTAGATGGATTGAATTTTTAATGAAGGAATATTTGTTTTTGCACAGGTATGGGCATATCTGCACATAATTTGCTACCCTTTGAAGTATCGATCAAGATCTACAATTGCCTTCGAATCATGTCCCTCCAGCAGAGCGACATGGCCCGATATTTCATTCACTCTTGCATGCACCATTTCTACCTCGTTCTCCTTTCCACGTCAGCCCTTTACTATTTCATGATGCAGTTCATACGTGGGAGAAATGTCCATTGTGGTCACAATGTCCGGTCTGGGCATACTTTTTCTTGTCGGTGCGATAGAATATTTTGTTATTTGTTTCATCGCCAAGGGGTCGTCTGCTTCAAAGGATTTTATCGCGAAAATGAAAATAATTCATGGAATGGAAAAGAGGAAAAGAGCAACGATGCGATCTTTGCTGCCGAACTTTATAAATTTGGAGGTGATCAGTTCGGTCGACAGTTTGACAAATGGGATTAGTTAGAACTATTATCTCAATTTTTTGGAGCGCGTGACAAACAATACGATCAGTTTATTGCTAGCCGCAAAGTAAACATATTTCCATACGCATACCCGTTTGACCGATGGTCTCATTCCCGTCGCGCCGTGACCTTACGACCTACAACGAGCTTCGAAATCATCCGTACTTCAAAAATTAGAAAAACTTTTTTCTGCTCGAAATTATGCAAAACGGCTCCTCCCAGGGTATCTAAAGTCCACGTACTACTGAGAAAGTTTGCTAGTCTGGGTTGCACTGGAGGTGCGATTAAAGACGCTTAGGGCACGTGGATATGACATGTTTTTGCCCTCAATTTATAGAATAATAAATATATACTTTACACTGCTAACTATAAGCTTATGTCACCCTAAATACAAATATTTAATGTTCAAGAGCCTATTTTTTTAAAAATAATTTCAGGAATTCTTAAAATTACACATAGTTTGTTAAGATCTTCAAGAAGAAATTTGTGAGATACATTTTTTGCTACATGTAAAAGTCTAAATATCCTGTGTTTGCAGAGTCTGCATACTCTTCAAAATGTTTTTCGGCATGATCGACGGCATCGTTGGGATTATCTTTGTGCAAAATGAATAAACTTTGCAGACACGCCATGGACGCTTTCTTCCTACTTTTCTTCAATCCTTTTTGAATTTTGAGGCACATCTCTTTCACCACTTGGGGCTCTACGTGGGGGTAAAATCGGGCAAACATTTTCCGAATTTGGTCCTCGGTGGCGTAGTCGATACAAATTTTAACGTCAACCCGTCCCGGTCGGATTAGTGCTGGGTCTAATTTCTGCAACAAATGAGACAAAAATCATTATTGGCGGTATTCATTACATGTGCACAAATCCGCATAGCAAAATAATTTTGCTACAAAAATTGCGAACGAAATAAAACCCTTGGAGATTCGCAAATTCTCAAATGAAATTTCCAGCGATTTTTTGCGAAATGGGTAACTTTGTAATTTTGTTAACGTTATTGAATATCTGCAAGATTAAATTTATTACTGACAAATAATTACATTTGAACTCGCTAAAATGACAAACATGATTTGACAATAAGTGCGAAAAAGATTTTTTTTTAAACCAACCTTGATATGATTCGTCGTTATAAAAACGATCCTGCCTTCCTGCGATGAAACGCCATCCAACGCATTAAGTATCCCTTTAAAGGTGACCTTGCACGAATCCGCCATCTTGTTGGGGGCATCGGTCGAGTCCTTGTGATCGAAGGCGGAATCGATATCTTCAATGAGCACGATCGTCTTGACGAACACCTTGCTCATCGCAGTTGCCAACGCGTCATCATTCAAATGTGGGGATGAGAGGGACAAAAAGCAAATGTCGTAACCAATTTCGCCCGCGAGGGAGAAAATAATGCTCGATTTTCCGGTTCCTGGGTGGATTTCAGGGTTAGATTTTCGAATATTTTTTGAAGTGTACATTTTCTGATAAAAATTCGCATATCCGTTCGTTATGATTTAATTGTATTAATTTCGCGAAATTATGTACATATGTATATAATGCAAATTTTAGCGGATCTGATTGGCCCGCATGGATCTAAATGCGTACATATTTACATATTTACACTCTAAATAAAGCTCTGGAACACTTATCAAAAGTTGAGTATAGTAGACGATGACAACAATTATGCAAAATTTATGCAACTTTGGAGAAATTTTACTAATTTGCCCTATCACCTACTCTATTTGCGATATAAGCTTGAGTAAATTACATATACACAACTTTATTTAGAGTAAGCACTTGAATATGATTGACCGGGGAATTTGAGACATTAGACACAGACTTTGCAGAAGTCTCGGTTTATGCAAGATCAAACCCGTATCTATTGCAAAATATTTCCCTATATGTAACTACCTAAAACCTATAAAGCCTAAAGAATGAGATTTGCACCGATTTTGCGAACTTAACTTCAGTTCAAAATATTTTGCAAAATACATCATATGCAGGGTTCGGAAAACCCCGGGGTTTTTGTAGAAAAACCCAACCCCGTGTGTTTTTCCGGGGTTTTTGGGGTTTTTGTGGGTTTTTGGGTTTTTGTGGGTTTTTGTGGGTTTTTGTAGATTTTGGGGCAGGTTGAACCAGAATTCGTAAAATTATATATTAGAGAAAAACTAATCTAATATACGAATTCAGCATGCAATTTTACCCGTTATCATTGACTTGGACTGTTACATCGAAAATTCATGTTTAACATGCATGTAAACCTGGAAATATGCCATAATATTTGGAAATTCAAGTCGCACAAAAAAATTCTCAAAACTTCATGATGAATCAGAAGATTTAATTAGCATTGATCTAAGTTGTAGTTTAAGGGATTTTGTTTCAATCTGCCTCAAAGTCCTACAAAAACCCCGGAAAACCCCACAAAAACCCACAAAAACCCGCAAAAACCCCATTAAGCATGAGGGTTTTTCCGGAGATTTGATACCCCAAAAACCCATAAAAACCCGGGGTGGCGAACCCTGAATGTACATACCTGGCGGTCCGTGCAACAAGTACCCCCTCCTGTACGGAATCCCTTTATCCAGGTACCACTCTCTATTCGCGAAAAAGCCTCGCACATCCTGGATCAAACCCTCTTTCACGCCATCATTGAGAATGACCGAGTCCATCGGTCGCTTTTTCCGATGCGCCATCTGTTGCCAGTCCAGGGTTGAGCTTAGGTAGAAAAAGTAGACAACTTCATCCGACTTTTTGCCTCTCTGCATGTCCATCGCTTCCTGTAAATAAATAGAGTGACCAAAACTGTATTGAGAAAAACTGGGACATTTTATGTACTAAAATGTCCCAAAAGTTAATAAAAAAAATCGAAAAAGTATCCAGTGCATGAAGGGAAAATTTGATTTTAAAATGGTACATATTTTCGAAAAAGTGATTGAAGTAAAACTCCAGAAATATATATGTACTCTCCATTCGCTTGAACTTTTACAGAAATTGAAAAAGTGAAATCACGCCACTGCCAGTCTCAAAGTTCCAAAGTCTCAAAGCCAGTATAATTGAGGGAAGTTGAGACTGGCAGTGGAGTAATTTCTATGAATTCTCAATTTCTGTAAAAGTTCAACCGTGTGCGAATGGAGAGTATGTAAATTGTTCAGATTCCTAATATGTAGGAATATGTTTGTATTTTCGAGTCGGAATGTGTAGATTGCATTTTTGTCAGTCTGCATTTAAAGATGCAGATTGAGCGCAATTTACATAGGTATTGCGGTAGAAACATGCAAATCAATGTTTGTATGCGGAAGTGATGGCAGGTATATTACGCTGCATCACTGCCACATCTTGTAAACTCATCTTATGTAGATTGAGTTGTCCAGTTTTGTAGTTTGCTAAACAGGTAAAAATGGTAGTAAGTAATGTATGCATGTATTTGTTCCAATGTTGAACAAACAATGGTTTATGTAACTTACATAACTTGCATAACTTGCAAATAGATTATTTTTAGTTGGAAAATGGAATGTATTAGTTAGCATACACGGGTGCTTTTCCGTCCGCTCTGCAGTATAAAGGTAGCCACGGACCAGAGCCCGCGTAACGCCCATTTAATATTTTTGTAACACAGGGTTGTTCTGCACAAGAGTGAATCGCAAGTCTCACATTGCCTCAAATGAGGAATTGAGATTGCTAAATTATTAGTATCAAATTACCCATAGGAATTGTATTAGTTTACCCATAAGAAATTACGTATCACATTACCCCATATTAACCATTAATAATAGAAATAGTTTCATGCAAGTTTGTATGTACTAATGAAGTAAACCAGAAATAAACCAGTTTCTATTAATTTAAAATTAACCAATTGAAGTTGTCTACGAATCATTTACACAACCATAGAGCTTTATGCTAAAAATTGGTGCACAGTATTTCAAGTTGCGCTACACTTCAACATACACACACTCATAATTAACTAACGTGAATTTACAACTCACGCACCACTAAGGAACTTACTTACGATTAAAAACATATATTATTAAAGTGGGTGTGGAAGCCGTGGTGACATTTGGGACATTAAGATTGTGGGACATCTATGTGAAAGCTGTGAGTTGGCCCCTCTGTCCCGACGCTTCCGCGGCCTATTATATTATGGAAAAAGGGTGTGGAATTAATGTTTTTTGTCGTTTCTAAAGACTAGGACACTTTGTCTTAACTGGGCAAGTAAGTTTGGTTATGCCCGGGACAGATTTCGAAAACCGGGTAAGGGCACCACCCTACCTGTAAAAGTTCCTCGAGCAAGGCCCGATTCCACGGAAATGTTCCCACATCCACTTCATCCGTCTGTGTGCACATGAGCAGAAAGAAGGTGGCGCCCTTATACTGGAATTCGGTGGTTAGCGGGAGCTTGACGAATTGATAGTCGTGGTCCGCCGTGAGGTCGTTCTCCTGCCCGGGTAACAGGTCATGAACTATTTCCAGCCTCTTGCACCGTTCATTCTCCGGCAAAAGTTTTCCAATGTAGGTGAGAAGATGGAAGTAGTACAATTCGGTGTACGAGGCGGCCACAAATTTGGATTTGGCGCCCCGAACGCGGGCGTAAATCTAAAATCCAGATAAAAATTGCATCTAAAAACGTACATATTATGTTTTAAGTGTACACCCTTAGAAATCTAGTACTAAAATGATACTAACAATGGAGGCGCAAACCACGTTCAGCCCATATAATTTTTTGACCTTATTAGTTTGAAAGAGCAAGTCTCTACAAACAACATTTGGTTCGGCACTTGGGCAGATGCGCAAATTTCAGCACGTTATGGGCGCCGCAAGTTCGCAAAAACGCACGATTTTTCGGGCAATGCCCAGCGCGAGCTCAACTTCGTGCGTTTTTGCAAACTTACGGCGCCCATAACGTGCTGAAATTTGCGCATCTGCCCAAGTGCCGAACCAAATGTTCTTTGTAAAGACTTGCTCTTTCAAACTAATAAGGTCAAAAAATTATCTGGGCTGAACATGGTTTGCGTCTCCATTGTAAGCGGTATTCCTAGATGAATCTATCAAAGTGGTATTGATAAGTGATACGGTGTAAATATTTACATATGTAGAAAGTAATCACTGGATGTTAAAGTTTTGACATGTCAGTAACAAATTTATAGGGAACGATTTAATTTTAATACCAAGCGGTAGCAGCTTTAATACCTAGCAAGCAATACCTGCCTTACTTCTAAGAGTGTAAATATTTGTATGAAACTTTTGCCTTACAAGAAATCCTTTTATCCAATCGATGCGAGAATATCGCCCGGTTTTAAAGTTCCACGCGACATAACATGCCGCACCGGCTAATATGGCGACACCGGTAAATAGCGATGGTCTTTTTATGATTGGAAATAATTTCATTTTTGCAATTATCGAGTCCATTTTTTTAATTTGAAATGAACTCGAGTCTTCGACTTGGATTAAGTAGGAGTGCTATGCGATCTAGATGAGTGAATGATCCGCATTGGGAAATGTTGGGTGACAGGTTTTGTTCTATTTTTGTACTTAGGATCAGTCAGGTGAACCCTTCGACTCGAGATTTTGACCCTTTTCAATTTCACAGGGCATTTTTTTCTACCTGGACGGAATGCATTGAATTAAACCATTGCATTGGAATTTAACAAATTTGTTGGTACTTAAAAGAGGAACGGTTAAATACTTCATGTCGTGAAGATGCGCGTGAGGGCCTTTTTTAAGTACGTATGTAAGGCTTCTGAAGTACAATGTTAATATCCCGCATTCATAAGAATAAATTAAGTTTCTAAATAGTAAATGCACTCGGCAGTTTGTACATACATACATACAATTATGCATAAGTAAACTATGTGAATATGCATATTGCGAAGATTGGCGTGATACATATATACATACATACATATGCTCCATAGTTATGAAAATAATAAAATATTTAAAGTACCAACTAGCATAAAATGCTGTTACTGATAATCTTTAAGGAAGTTAACAACGCATACATAGTCTTTAAGGATTCAACGTTAAGTATGATGCAAAAAATATTTGATGTATGTAAATAGACAACAAATCGTATTTATTTCTCTACCACCGAATTAAATATTGTGTAACAATTGATAACAACAGAATGTGGTTTAATAACTCTTGCAGATATTTCCAACTTAAAGAATGTCGACAAAAGCAGCCACGCAAATTTCTACCCTCATGTCTCTCGGGTCTACAATTTTCGCCATGAATTCGACCGTCTGTCCGGACAGGACATCGTTCGGGATGAAGGAGTACTTGACGGTGTATTGCAATCCTGGCTGGATCGCAGAGTGGGGCAGTTCCATGTTTATAATTTGCATACATAGACCAGCCGACGTACAAATTTCGACCCGCAGAATTAACGAGGGCATAAAAATGGTTGCTGGGCAGGTTTTAAAAAATTATTAAATTTCTGGAAATAATGATACTGAAATTTAAGTATGTACTCACAAGGAACCCAATGATTCGAACAGTTGTACATCGTGCCAGGCTGGAAGCGACAGTAGCCCTCGCAATCCGTGATATTGAGCAGGACTTCAGCCCCGTCACTACCGCAGTTCCGGACTTAATTGCAATTAAATAAATTAATAAATAAGCATTACTGAAGATATCGTTAATATACTTTTAAAAGTATGGGACCATCCATAAACTACGTAACGCGAGAAAGGGGAGGAGTCTAAGGCTCCAATGATGTTAGAAATGCTGGAGGCGGGGAGGGGTCTAGAAAATCGAGGCTTTTGAGTTACGCAATTTATGTACTGCACGTAATGTTACCCTGTTAAAATGTACATTCACAATCGCCTTTTTACTAATTAAACTATACTAAATCCAGAGTAAAGTTCATCAATTTATCGTGCCTCTAAATATATTTAGTATAGTTTACTTAACATAAAATTTAGAATGACTCTACTTTTTAACATAGTAACAACATTTTTAAGAGTGTGAATAAGATAAATTAAAAACTTTCAAAATTTTACACACTTGGGTCAACAATTCCAGCCGTTGCGAACGGGATGAGGAGTAAAATGGTAAAGACTTTATGCATTTCGATGTTTCAAGTTTTAAAATCGTTGCACTTTTGAAAATCGGAATGGGTCTGAACAGATGGATCTCTTCGTCTCCGTTTTATACGCACTTGCTGCTGCTTTGCTTATCGTATTTATTCCCCAGCTTATATAAAACCTTATCTCCATGGAAATAACTGCATTACGTAAAAAGTTATTCAACACGTGTTGAAACTGTCGAATGGATTTTTGGTCCAGATAAATCGTAAAAAGTTACATAATCCGGGACATGATGGATTGATTTGTTGACTGTCTATTCTTATTTATATTGATTTGTCCAAGAGATAGCGAGTCCATGATTTCGCAAATACTAATTATCTAATGAATCAATTTAATACAATTAAGCTTACGCATATCTATCTACTACTGATACAAATAGGTTTCGCCAAAAAAACAGAGAATAATCGTCTCTCATAAAAAGTGGTGCACAAGAAACATTTAAACTTCTTTACATATGTACATCCATTTTAAAGCAATTGCTTCATTATAAGTTAACATATGTATATTACTTAATCTGTGTACTTTATGGATTAGAAAATAAACCAGTGGAAAACTGATGTAATTCATAGCATTATTTGTGAAACAATATTTTGTTGTACAGATCTGATAACCATAATTACAAGTGCATATATTCATGCAAACTAATTTGCTGAGTTTAATTAAATTTCAGAAGTTTCGTTAATTAGACCCAAAAGACCAAATTCGTGAAGACCATTTTAGGCAGGTGAGGGTCTGGAAGATACATATATGTCTCAACCGGCCCGGTAACATCGGGAATTACCATTGAGTATTGTTGTGCTATTGAAAAATTTACCACTCTGCAACAAACTACTACCAATCTGGTAGAAAGTTAGTACCAAATCAATACCACAACGGAGTATATGTATTTTGGTTCTTCCCATTTAACAGGGTATGTACCCCGGTCACCAATAATAAAATTCAAGGTTCTTGTAACACCTATTAGCCGGACCACGTAAGAGCAGGACGGAGAGCAGACAAATGTGCAGTAGAAACCGCTAACTGCCCGTAAGAAATACATGGGAAGCCGATGGCGGTGGTGCACCACTGGCCTCCCAGGTATTTCTTACGGGCGGTAAGCGGTTTCTACTGCACATTTGTCTGCTCTCCGTCCTGCTCTTACGTGGTCCGGCTAATATATATTATTAGCGAGTCATTTCTATTCTTACCTTTCAGCACTCTATAATAACAAGAGTTTCGTATACTCAAAACCTCATTAAATTCTCAACTATTAATACATATCGCCTAAAAGTTGGAAGGTTTAATTTCTTAATGTATTTATATCTAAAGCTATTTAAAAACAATATATTAAAGACCGTTGGTAAATACTCAATTATGTATCCTTCCTTTATCATTCAACTACATAAATACTTACATAAAGACAATTTAGTACAAAAAACCAACTTTTAACGACTTGTCAATTGCACACTCTTAAAAATGATGTTAGATATCCTTTTGAAAAGTGAATGCACTTTTGACTCTACATACAAACAATACCAAATACAGTGTGAAGGTTACTCTTTTATGAAGTTAACGTTGGTCTGGATTTAGTTCCCTCTAAGAAATTTTAGCAAAATATCATCACCGACCGGTATGATAATATGACACCGATCGGCTACAGCGGAAGCACCACTTGGGAACACCCACCACTATCTCGGTGAAGTCTATCGCAAAGACGACGCATACTAACAAGGGAAGGTTCCAGACTGCTAATGGTGTTCAGGGTACCCACCATGTTTTTTAGAATCTATCTACTAGGACCATAGATGAAGGATTCATTGATATTTCCGTGTAAAACTCACATTTGGCGCCATGGCGTGGTGCCAAACTTAAAAATTTGCATTTTCGACCAGTTTCAAACACCCATAACTTTTGCAGTTTTGCTTAACAAAAAATTGTATGCTTAAAATTGTATGCTTAACATTTTCACAAAAATCAAAATTTTAGAGACAATGATAAAAATAAAAAAATTCTAATTTTTGAGAGATTTTCATCATTTTTCGACGAACCCCCATTTCTAATAACATTACGACATTTTGCAAAAAGTTAAAAGAGATAATTTTTCGTAATATTTCTATGGATACGAAAGTTAATTCTTTATCATGATTTTTGCCGAAAATTTTGAAAATCCGTCCAGGATTTCAAAAGTTATGGTGATTTCAAAAACATTCAAATTTTGCAAATTCTGTGCCACGACACGACGCCAAATGTGAGTTTTACACGGAAATATGAATGAATGAACCCTTTATCTGGGGTGCTATATAGTAGATTCTAAAAAAACAGTGGATACCCTGTACACGATCGGGAACCTTCCCGAAATGGTAACAACCCCGATGTAAAATTCAGACGGTATTCACTTATGTATCAAAATGCTGAGATTATTTTTTAGAGTAACGGACGCATTTGCCAAGTACAATTTAATATATTTCGTCCATTAATCCTACAAATGGAGGCCAAACGGTTCAATTCTGCCCGTCCAAAAATCCAGAATACGCAACCGAACTTGTGTATAACATAGTGAGTCAGAATTTTACTTAACAAAATCCCCTGCAATCTTGATACATAATTTACATTTATTTACCCCAGGAAACGACAAATTCGCAATGGCTCCACCCCAAGGGAGCGATATCTCATTAAACCCCCCCACCGTCAAATCCTCCGGAATTTTAATCCTCGCCCTTAACCGACACAAATCTCTATTCAGATTTCTAGAAACCACCCCAATTTCTTGGACCGGTAAAAAATTCTTGTACACATCTAGCTCTTTACGGATTTGGTACACCAACACGTTTCTCATCCTGATATCAACGACCACCTTACCCTCCCTGTATTTCCTCGTTCGCCCAATCTTCTCCACCTCGGGGAGCCTCCCTTTTAAAAATTTCGTCGTCTTTGTCGGAATCCTGCTATGTGGAATTTTCAACGTTTGGGTGAACATTGCTCAAATCTTGTACGGAAAAGAGTTTGTCCTCGTCTTAAACGAGTTCGACGATATTATTAAAACTTTGCTAAATCAATATCCGAGCTGTGTTCAAAATAAGCAAACATCGAATTTGGACGTTTTATTTAAACTATTTAACGACGCTTTCCTCACTTACGTGATACTTTGTCCGGTTGGCTGCATCCTGTACAAGTTGGACCCGTTATACTTCCTTCTTAAAGAATTTTACGAAGTTTCCGAAAATAATTTCTTGGAAGTTCGACTCCTTCTTGCGATACGATATTGCTTCATTGTCATCGTTTGTTCTGAATCCTGTCGACTATTTCCGCTAATTTTTATCCTATTTTTATCAGGGTTAAGACTGTGTTACACAAATTTGAAAATTTTATCGAGTCTAACCACCAGAAAAGAGGGAGTACTTATACATAAATTATTACTTCTGCATAAATCTACTACAATTTTGGTCCGATTAGCAGGAAAATTTCAGGAAAGTGTGACCCTTTGTTTAATGGGGATTGGTCTCGTGTTAAGCATGTTGTTTAATTTTGCCGTGGTTAAAGGCCTTGGTCGGATTCCGTTACATCTTTATTGGTACATTGTTTCCGGGACGGGGATGATTTTAATTGTGATTCATATCTTGATGCTGTATCCTTATCGGATAAGTGATGTTTCTCTTGATTTACTGGGCACGTGGGTTTGGAGTGCTAGCTTGAATGAGAGTTATCTTCGGAGGAGGTATTATAGGAAGAAAGTGAGGGCGATGGGGGTCGTTGAAATAGCGGGGGGAATTGGAGAAAATAGATTTTATGTGTTAAAAAGGTCAACAGAGGTTAAATATTTTGCGATAATTGTGGCATACACGATTAATTTGTTGTTAGGAATACCACCCGATTTATTGGATGATCTTCGATAGATGAGTATTTGTATGAACAAGGGAACCTTATTTCAAGATACACGAGCATAGGATAGAATTGTGTAACGAGTTATATCAAAAAATTAAGCCAAAAGTTAGGAATCCGATAGCGCTTATCATTCCGTTGAATGGACCTTTTAAACAAAAATATTGACGGTAAAGTTCAATTTTAAGCAAATTTTCTGAGTTTCCATCCACGAGGCGAAAACCAAGGCACTTTGACCAAATATTTATGTTACAAAAATGTGTTTCAAAATAGTTCATTCCTTTAATAATCAAATACGAAAATCCCGAATAATGCCAAAAATTGTTACCCAGCCGGGAATCGAACCACGGCTCGCTTGAATTCATGTCAAGTGATCTGACCACTGAGCCACTAGGGCAATTAGCAGCATTATAGGGACTTTGACTGATATTTGTCTGTGGCCTTTTTCTATGAATTTCTACTTTCTTGTACGGTGGCAACGAACGAAAGAAAGCTTTGGCACTTTTGGCCTACATACTTCATTCAGTTTCCATCAGACAAATTGCCTACATCGGAACTTTGATTGATGAAAAGATTCAGTTTCTATTGCCTTGGATTATGTAGTCCGAAGTGAACAATTATTAAATCCGATTTAATAATTCGTATCCATATTACTGGATCGGTATTGTTGAAACTAAAATTTGTTTGCTTCAGTAGGTGCAGTATAATGATTGTACATACATATGTAATTTACTAGTGGTACATCTTTAGCACTTCAAAAACACACTAAATCAAATCAGCGAAGCTAATCGTTGGAATCGATATTTCAATTGTTAGAAGTAAATGTTGTATAATTACTGCGCTGTTTAAGGGTATTAATTGTATGAATACTTTAATATAATGATTTGATATTAAAATGACAATGAAACTCCAATAAAATTTTTATTAAAACCGAGATATTTGAACTCCAAATATTAAATTTACTTTAAAATAATACCCTAGCAAGTAATCTGTGACATTTTATTACCTAATACATGTGTATGTACGTTACGGGTAAGACCAACTTATGTATCTGTAATGAAGCTTTAAAGGCTAGTTTGTCGGAATTGTGTGACCAGGCCCCGATTTAGGGGCAGCAGCACGCGGGCAGCTGCCGGGGGCGCCAAACCCCTGGGGGGCGCCGGCAGGCGCCCGGGTTTACACTAGATATAATTGAATTTTCCTGTTGTAAATTTTGAAAA